TGCTGGTACATTGTGAGGAGCAGGAGAAATAAAATAAAGCAAAAGCAGTAACTAAAGTGCTGTCCAGATAACTTTCATGCTGTAAAGTGTAGTAATTCAGGCAGCTATCCTAAGCTCTCAGATTTGTAGTTTTGCAAGATGTTTAGCATTCCCTGTCAGAGAGCTCTGGTGCCCCACCAAACTACAAATTCCAAAATTGCATAGAACTGAGCCTTAGAAGTTAAAGTGGTGTCAAACTGTTTTATTTTTGCAGTGTGGCAGCAACCCGTTTTTTGAAGTTTCTTTTTATTTCCCTGGCTTTTAAAAATATTCTTCAATAGAAAGGTGCTACATTTCAGTTCATTTGTGAGCATTTTGGATCTGACATAGATTTTGTGGTTAGATGTGGGTGTGTTAAGCTCCTTCATATCTCCTGTGTTTCCAGATTGTCTCAGTTCTCACATGGTCTCCCTTTGCCATTTTTTAAAATGTTTTGCCTAGAAATATAGCACAAGAATTGTCAATTGTAATATTGCTATTGTTAGGTTTGTCTCCTAGCAATGTTCAACATAGTCCTCTTCATAATAATAATAATAATAATGATAATGATAATGATAATTTAATACCCCGCCCCTCTGAAACCAGTCGAAGCGGCTTACAGATGATAAAAAATCTGTACCTGTCCTGGAAACATGAGGATGAATCGTAACAAAGATGTTTTGTTGTTTGTTGCTGTCATGGTGTTCTAGTGTGGCAAAGGAACCCTGGTTCAGATTTCCGCATAGCTGTGCATTGCATTGGAACCAAAAATAAGAATAGCTCCATTACAGTTCACTATTTTAGTACTAAAACACTGAACAATTCATTTTTTAAAAAATCTCTAGTACCTTAACACAAAAGTAGTAGGTTCCTCTGTTCATAGAGATCAAGCTCCAAATACACATTCCAGTCAACCTGTGAACTTAAGTGCAGGTAAAACATCCACATTTTGCCTTGACTTTCCAATCTTGTACCTTTAACCCAAGTTTAAACTGACTAGTGGGGGTGGACTTTGCTCTCTCCAAGCACTATTGTTTTATCACATATGGGGGTTGCAGACTGCCAGAAATAGTGCAAATTGAGTCC